GCGCAAATTCTTCCACGAGCCAAATCGAGCAATAGTTTTCCTTCGCAAACGTTCTCGAAGAATCGTCGATGATGTTTATGATGAGCAAATGCTTATACGAAGAGTGGAACGAGTACGAGTAGTGGTGTCTTCTTCGCTTCTCTTCTCTCTTTTTCCCTAAACCATTTCCATCCATCGAGCGCGCGCGGCTCGTTTTGCGTTTAATGAGTTTTCCAGCAAAACCAAAGAGGGGACGTGTTTTGTCTATGGTCAACGGATTTCGCGAATGCGTAACTCATAAGTCATGAGTTAATGAGTTTTCTCGAAAGAAAGAAGAAAAATAAAAGAAGAAGGGAAGAAGAAAACGCGCCAGGTATACACGACTCCGACGGTATTTTAAGAAGAACTTTATTACCACGTGAAAACATTTCTTTCTAAAGACAATATAATTAGCTTTGCGTTATTATCATTGGAATTTACTTATTAATTGCAAGCGTGTACTCACCTTTATATATCTTGTTCTTGAATCATAAAATAATTGAAAACTACTTTTTTTTAAATAATTTTAAATACAATTACGCTTTGAGGTGCGTATTAACTTTTATATTAAAAGAAAACCATCAATTGTTAAAATCTATATTTTCTCAAATCTTGTCCTGTATTTATTATGAATCTTTTTGTTTTTGAATCATAAAATACATGAAGACTAGATTCTTAATAATTTTAAATTTCCCGCAATTCTTAAATTTCAAATGTCTACTCACCTTTATACTTAATAAAAAAACGTCAATTCTTAAATCTATTTTTGCTAGGATCTTTGTCTCGTATTTTTTACATTTTTTTGTTTCTTGAATCATTCAATAATTTAAAACTACTTTTTTTAATAATTTTAAATACTATTACGCTTTGAGGTGCGTACTCACCTTTATATTAAAAGAAAACCATCAATTGTTAAAATCTATATTTTCTCGAATTTTGTCCTGTATTTATTATAAAGCTTTGTGTTCTTGAATCATAAAATACGTGAAGACTAGATTCTTAATAATTTTAAATTTCTCGCAATTCTTAAATTTCAAATGTGTACTCACCTTTATACTTAATAAAAAAAACGTCAATTCTTAATTCTATATTTGCTAGAATCTTTGTCTCGTATTTTTTTATAATTTTTTGTTTCTTGAATCATTCAATAATTGAAAACTACTATTTTTTAATAATTTCAAATACAATTACGCTTTGAGGTATGTACTCACCTTTATATTAAAAGAAAACCATCAATTGTTAAAATCTATATTTTCTCGAATCTTGTCTTGTATTTATTATGAATCTTTTTGTTCTTGAATCATAGAATACACGAAGACTAGATTCATAATAATTTTAAGATTTAAAATACAAAATTTTGACGCAAATTTCAAATGTGTACTCACCTTTATATTTAATAAAAAAAAACGTCAATTGTTTAATTTTTTATAATTTTTTGTCTCTTGAATTATTAAATAACTAAAAACTAGTTTTTTCTTCAATAATTATAAGATTTAATGTTTTATTTGCATTAACTCGTTCTATATTTCATAAAGTTTTTCATGAATCATATAGACTACGTTTCCCATCATTTTAAGTAATAAGTCCAGAAAACGCGGTTTTCCCATCTCGTCATCTCCCCTATTCATTTATTTCTTTCATCTCCTTTATACGTTTCTGCATCCTAATGTATGCAAATCTAGGGATTTCTTTTTAAAAAATTTTAAATACTCTTACATTTATTGTTGTGCGCGTTTTTGGACGCGACGTCGGCGTCTCGAGGGTCCGAAAACCTGTTTGTACGTTTCTGGAGAAGAAACTAACATTAATATTCCTGGAAACTCAAACTGATTGTCTTTCTTCCTGATGCGCAATCCTTTCGTTGGGGTCCAGACTAGTCGGAGACCAGTTTCAAATAGGGGAAAAGTCGTCTTATTTGCATTTCATCTTTAACAAATTCCCGTTTTCTTCTGTAATAATTTTATTCTCCTTCGAATGAAAATTGTAATATTTAAACTTAATGTCTGCGCTATAGTTTTTTTTATTTGTGTTTTAACTAGCTGCAGTAGTTTTGGGAATTTATGGTCCCAACCCTCATGTACCCTCATCCGACGTCAAAGGGTTATAACTCATTCCGCGACTTAGATTACAAGTATTATTTGGACTATAAACGCTACAAACTTTCCCATTAAATTATCTTCACTTTTTCTTACACATCTAATTATAATTCCATTGTATTTTCTGAATCATTAATTGTAAATCTACTACAATTTCTAATTATGTTTTCTAATAATTATGTTTTTTTTTTTCTAGTATTGTTATTAATTAAAAGACATAAATTAAATTAGAAATATTGCAAAATTAATTACTACATTGTAATCATCATTTACGTTTTCTTTCAGTTAAATAATTTCAAGTTTTCTAAGAAATTTCATTATCGTATTTTGTTAATTGTTATTTTTAATTACTTTTATGTTTACTATTGTTTATTTTATTATAATTTATCGTTGAAAGCTTTAAATTAGTTTTGTTATTGTTTTTTTTTTGCAAATTGAAAAAGTGAACTATATCATTCTATAGATGTAATTAATCTATTAATCTAATTTTACAGACGTAGTTTATAGACTTGAATTACCATTTTGCTTATTTATTTATTTATGAAAATGTGTGTTAATCGAAATGCATCAATCTTCTGTGTTCGAGTTTACGAGAACGTTTCTTCTCTTCTCTGCCCTGATTTTATCTATCAAAGTTATTAAATGTAATCGTCCTTTTATTTCGTTTACTAACTTATACACCAAATATGTATCTTGTAGTTTAATTGAAGGTTAAATCAATATTCTGTCCTCTCCGGTTTCTCCTGCCTTTTGAAGATAGAACAACCCTTTCTGTTTGCCCTTTCTCTCAGCTATAATTGATATATAATGCTCTTCAGCCAATTCATCACTTACACTTCATCAATGTTTATACAACTATTATTTCGTTTTGTTTTGTTCAGCAGTTATTATTTTCATATAATTACTACATAATGTAAATTTAATAAATTTAGAAAAACACATTTTCTCATAAATTTTCATACAACTTAAAAAGTTAAAAGCAAATACTTGAAAATTTATGATGAAAGAAATAAATTTGTATAATATTCATAAATGAGAAAACTTTTGTAAATTATTGATTTATGTTTAACTTATTTTGTTATTGTGTTTTTTTTTTTAAATACTTTTTTAATATAATATCTCGTTGGCAATCGCAAGCCCGACAACTGAAATTCCGACTATGTCAAAATCCCGACAATCAAAATCCCGACAGTGTCTGTAATTATTATAAATTTCTACAATAACATTTTTATGGTAGTCGGGATTTTGACATAGTCGGGATTTCGATATAGACCCATAATATCTATAATTTTCAACTTAAATGTTGTGAATTTAAATACACTTTGTCTTAGACATACCAGGAAAAGTCTAGATAAAAAAATAAATTCATATAGTATTCAGTTTTAGTCTATAACAAAATTTTCTTAAATTTAACCCTTTGACAGACGAATAAAATATAAATTATATAACAAAAAAAAAAGTTTTTTAAAATTATGAAGTAGATTTTCTTATGTAAGTTTTGAAATGAATTATTTGATTGTTTGGTCTATGTTTTTTTTTTTTCGTAACGGAAAGTACACACTACCTTTTTTTCTTCTTTAGTCTTTATGCAAAATTATAAGTTTCTTAAATTTAACAAATCTTGCAAATGTTGATACAAAGTATGGTAGGTTTTTAAAGGAAAATACACAAAACTTTTTTTAGCTTTTTAAATATTGTAATGATGTAGTTTTTGTGAATTTAACAAATTTTGATACATTTTAAGTTTCCGGTCTAATTTTTTTTTTGTAAAGGGAAAGTACACACTACTTGTTTTATGAAAATCTCATTATCTACGTGAAATTTGAATGAGTTTAAGAAATCTTGTAACTTTTTTTCGGTCGTGGTCTTTTTTGATAAAAAAAAAAAAAAAGGTAGGGAAGAGTGCCCTTTTGCGTTTGCCAAGCTCTTAGCCATAATTGGTATTGTACTCTTCGTGCTAATTCATCTCTTACTTCAAGGCAATGCATATTTCATGATAGTCGGGCTGTCCCCAGCACTCCTTCGCTTGTCCATCTCCGGGGCCACTTCTTCAATCCTCCCGCACATCTTTCTCTTTCTCCGGCCCTTAGGTAATTAGCGAGGGGTTCGAACGTTCCTTCCTTCCTATAAGCGAGAGCGCCAGTGCGTATTACGTGCGTTGTGTATGAGTATGAGTGTGTACGGTTGTGGCGTTGCGCAACTGAAATGAGGGAACCGCCGTCCTCTCCTCCTCCTCCTCCTGCTCCTATGTCCTCAACCCGCTGTCGCCGCCGCCGCCCTCCAGGGCCCTCCGGTTGCAAGGGGCGACGCGTGCGCCTCGCGCCCTCCGCGTTGTCGCGACAGACCGTCCGTATGCGCGAATTCGTCCGTCAGTCCCTTGCCTACCGCCAGACCGCTTAGCTTGCCCGCTTGAACCAGTCAGTGTCTCTCTCTTTACCGTGAGACGACGTGTGCAGCGCACACACACTCTTTTCGTACACTCTCAACCTCTCGTACTACTACTCGTGTGGTGTGTAGGAGTGCAGAGAGAGCGGAGACGTCTATCGAAGAAGCAGCAGAAAACGACCGGAACTCCTGTATTCCAGATTGTTTTCTCTCTATCTTTCGAGAAGAGCGAAAAAGTTGCGAGTAAAAAAAAAGTTTGGCCAATCGACGGAAGAAGAGGATATTATCTCTTCTCTTCCACACCAAGTTTTCGAATTTCGGGCTACCGTCGCGTTCTCCGACGAAGAAGTTCAGTTCAGATCGCTTCTTGTGTGACAAGGTTTACAATTAGATCCAAAAATATATCCGTATATTTTTGGTGATTCTTTGAAGAAAGAAAGAAAAACTTTCGTTAGAAATATTCTATAAACTCTTAGTGCTTCGTGTGTGAAATTATTATTATATATATATAATCATCAACAAAAAAAACAAAGAACTCTTTGGGGAAAAAATCTGAGAAAAATCGTACCCGATTTTTCTTGAAAAAGTGAGTCCCCTTACCATTATTAACTAGTTATTTAAGTTACAATAAGATACATTGGAAATTGGGAAAATTTCTATTTAACTATTTGTTTAAATAAACTTAAGATTTGTTGATTTCATGAGGGTGGATGCGACGGGGGAAGAAAACTTCATTACGGAAAGTGACAATCCGTATATTATATATATATATGTATTTATTGTGTGGAGGAAAATATTTGAAGAGCGTCTGATGAAGGTTTTTTTTGATAGAAGGGTGTAGAAAAGGAAGAGAGAGAGGAGAAAAAAGCTCAATCGTTTTTTCACGGAAAGTTTTCGTGTATATTTTCTCTGCCGTCTGAGGAGATCGGGAGAAATGTTTATCTTTCGGATCCATGTTTATTTAGGTTTATTCTTTATTTAATCTGTCAGAGTGTGCGTGGATTTTGTGAGTGTGTCTGTGTGCATGTGAAGCGAGAGAAAGAGAGGATAAAAATATCTATCTGTTACGAAGGAAAATCGCGTTCGCGTTTCTCCCAAAGCTAACGTTACCGATTTAAAACTATGGAATTTTAACAGACACTTTAACGTGAAATTTTGTAATTTTAACGTACAGTTTTAATGTTTAGATTCACGTAAAAAATCTATCTTTAAACATGATTTTTTTAAACTTTACTAATTTTTTTCTCTCTTAATATCTTAACAAAATATCTTTAATACTTGTATCATTAATAATTTAAACATAATTTTTAAGTAAGAAAAAATTAACAGACACTTTTTAAAGTGTATTTTTTCTATATATATAAATTTTAAGAAAAATTATGTTGAATCCTTGTGAAAAAGGGAAAGTACGATGATTAACACTTCAATGTTAAATTCAATGTTCCGTGCTAATAACCGTGCTCAGAAATACATTTTCCTCTTAGAGCAGCGGCGAAGTTTTGATTAAATACGTTTAATATGAGACTCGTGTGTGAGCTAACATTTGCAAGATTTTACACGGAACAATTTGCACAAAAGTTAAACTTTCGTTAAATTACATAAAGTGTTCGTTAAACAACAAATTTCTAAAACTTTAAATTAAATGTACAAAATTGTTATCAACTTAATTGATGCAATTAATTTTACAATTATTTTTTTTCATAAAATTGTCTTAACTCATTTCTATTTTTGAGCTGAAATTATGTTTAGATAAATAAAAAAAGGCAATTGCCATAAAAATGTTTCAACGCGGTTTTCGCCGAATTGTAATTACTTGAAACGTCAATAAATAGACGCGAAATTAGTTTGAAATAAGAAAATCGAACATTTCGGTTTAGCTTTAATCTGCTTAAATTTGATTATTTTCTCGCTGCGAAAATTGCTTTAAAATATGTTTTAATTCCATTATGCTTTTCCGATTTTCTCTCTTCCCCCAACGGGAAAGTTTTCATTCGGCAATTAGCGGTCGGACGCCTGCAAAAAAACCGTGTATGAATTTCGCTTCGCACGAAAACCAAAAGAAGTTAATTCGTTTTCTCTTTAAATATTTAATACGACCGTTTTTTTTTGTTTGCTAATTGTTTCTCAACTCTGATCGCGTTTTGATTGCGTTAAAATTCGTTTATGTTTTGTTTTTTTGTTGTTGTTGGTTGTGGTTATTGAATCAAGTTGTAATTTGATAATTTTAAAGAGGATTGAATGTACGTGAAAGGTGTTAGTTTCCAAACGTTGTTTATCCGTAAATTAATCTTTTCGCTGCCAGATAAGATAAAAAAAATTATTATAACGGGATGTGTGTTATTGTTGATTCTACGCGTTCGTAATCGGTTGGATATTTCCGATTGCAGCGTAATCTGTGCATGCGAGGTTTAATCTGGTGATTTGTGTGTGTGTATTTGTAGTTAGAAAAGTTGGGTATAAAATTATTTGAAAATGAAAAATTTTACAATTTTATTTACAAAAAAAAAACGTTTTGTCAATGTATGAAAATAATTGTTAAATTATTAAATTTTAAGATTGTAATGTTAAAGTTAAATTTTGTACTTTTTACTCAGAAATATATGCAAAATTTTGTTAATAAATTAGAGAGAGAAAAAAATTAATAAATTTGATGACTAAAGTGAACTTTAACTTAATTTAATAAATGATGAAATATGATTAATAAATGAATGTTTCATTCAGTAGTGAAACTAATTTTTATTCAATGTAAATAGGAATGTTGGAGGACGAAAAGTTAATTGTAATGAGTCACAGTTTTCAGTCGGCCGAACGAATACGAAACCGTATTGAATAAATAAATTAGATAATATGGTAAACAATTGATCGCGCCGCGGCGACCTTGACTAGAGCGTTACATAAATCGAAATCATCGGCGTACGTGAATTATCCATTCGACTCGTTCCTCTTTTGTGGGGAAACATCGTTTCTTGTTGGTTATCATCAATTAGAGTCGTGTTGTTTTATCGAGTTGTTGAAAGTATTTCGGGTCTGAGAACTAACTAGTAACGTACACTTTATTGCATAACATATTGTATAATTGTCTACTTTAATTCGTTAAATCTGTAGCAAAATGTTTCCAAAGATATTGTGAATTGAATAAATGTATGTGTCGCAACGGATTATAAAGTGGATTAGCGCATTCTGCATCAAAGCTGTGTGTATCTGTTTCCACGAGAAATCTTTACTCGTGACACGATTCTCGTTCGTCGGGTTTTTATTTCACTCTATTTTCGTTTCACGAGAAATGCAACTAACAGAGAGAGAGAGAAAAGGTGCAAAATAAAAATAAAACGGAATTATATAATGTTACATCTGCAAGAAAATATCCTGAGATTGTAACGTATGCAATTCGCAGATGTTGCAATTTATGTAATGCATAAAAGAGAGGTACGTACGTTCGGGTCATAATGGCAAATTTTCTCTTTTCGGTTCGTCTCATCTCAAGCTTTGAGGAAACGTTTCTTGTTGTTTGTTGTTTTACAAAATTTGAAAGTTGCAATCTGCATCCATCGACGAAATTACTTAATGCTTATGGATAATCGCAGTCAAAAGTAGAAAAGATTTTGTTTTGTTCTTTCTCGAGATTGCGAGAGGTCAGAGCCCGCAGTAGGTCAACGACCAAAAAATATTGCTCCATTCGACTTTCTTTTCGGCCATTGTCTCCTGCCATTTTATTTATATATATATATTTATATATAGAGAGAGAGAGAAATATACACTTCATTTACTTTCTAAATCTCGAAAGACTTTTATTACGCCAAGAATCGGATCAATTCACGCTTCAATAATGCATCTTGACATTAAATGAAACGTAAATATGTCAGTTGTCAAATAAAAAAAATGACAACTGTCAAAATTGTTAATTGTCATTTGTCACAATTGTCAAAAAATGACAACTTCTTAGGTAACGTTTCTTTTATGATATCTAATTTATCATAAAAGTAGTCAAATGAAAATAATGATGTAAATTTGAATAGTTATAAAAATGCAACAAAATCCAATAGTAATACTTTAGTAACGCTTCTTTTATGACACTCTGCATTATCATTCTTGCGATTTTATTATTAATCTAATTTATCATAATCAGAAGTAAATATGTTATCTGTCATTAATGCGGTTTTCTTCAAAATTTATAATCCATATTGTCATAAAAGAAGCATTTTTGACTAACCTCAAATTATATACACTTCACAACTGTCAAATACAAATTGACGTAACATCAAGAGTTAAAAAAATGCAAAAGAAATTAAATAGTAACGTTTCTTTTATGACACTCTGCATTATTTATAATCTAATTTATCATAATCGGAAGTAAAAATGTTATCTATCATTAGTCGAATAAAAAGAATCATGTAAACTTGTATAGTTATAAAAATGCAACAAAATCCAACAATAACGCTTCTTTTATGACACTTTTATGAATAATGTGATTTAATACGGTTTTATTCAAAATTTATAGTCCATATTGTCATAAATGAAGCATTTTTTGACTAACCTCAAATTATATACACTTCACAACTGTCAAATAAAAATTGACGTAACATCAAGAGTTAAAAAAATTGCTAAGAAATTAAATAGTAACGTTTCTTTTATGACACTCTTGCATTATCATTCTTGCGATTTTATTTATAATCAAATTTATTATAAAAGAAGTAAATATGTTATGTATCATTAGTCAAATGAAAAGAATGATGTAAACTTGAATAGTTATAAAAATGTAACAAAATCCAATAGTAACGCTTCTTTTATGACACTCTGAATTATCATTCTTGCGATTTTATTTATAATCTAATTTATAATAAAAGAAGTAAATATGTTATCTGTCAGTAGTCAAATGAAAAGAATGATGTAAACTTGAATGTTATAAAAATGTAACAAAATCCAATAGTAACGCTTCTTTTATGACACGTTTATGAATAATGTGATTTAATGCGGTTTTCTTCAAAATTTATAATCCATATTGTCATAAAAGAAGCATTATTGACTAACCTCAAATTATATACACTTCACAACTGTCAAATAAAAGTTGACGTAACATCAAGAGTTAAAAAAATTGCTAAGAAATTAAATAGTAACGCTTCTTTTATGACACTCTGCATTATTTATAATCTAATTTATCATAATCGGAAGTAAACATGTTATCTATCATTAGTCAAATGAAAAGAATGATGTAAACTTGAATCGTTATAATAATGCAACAAAATCCAATATTAACGCTTCTTTTATGACACTTTTATGAATAATGTGATTTAATGCGGTTTTCTTCAAAGTTTATAATCCATATTGTCATAAATGAAGCATTTTTGACTAACCTCAAATTGTATACACATCACAACTGTCAAATAAAAATTGACGTAACATCAAGAGTTAAAAAAAATTGCTAAGAAATTAAATAGTAACGTTTATTTTATGACACTTTTATGAATAATGTGATTTAATGCGGTTTTCTTCAAAATTTATAGTCCATATTGTCATAAAAGAAGCATTTTTGATTAACCTCAAATTATATACACTTCACAACTGTCAAATACAAATTGACGTAACATC